CTTTAAAGATGTCTAAGGGCTCCAGTCTTGGGGTTCCACCAGTCTGTGTCAGACCAGTAAGCTTTTATGATTTTGCATTTGGTCTACATGCTGTTCTCACATCTTGCCCAAGACCTTCAGCTGTGATCCCCATCCGAGTGGTCAGTAGTGGTAGCTGGGCATCAGCTGGTTCTTCTGGTCTCAGTCTAATGCAGGTTGTGGTTCACAGGGACCACACGGACTCTGGGCTAATGGTTGCCTTGGCTGTTGATTATGACAGATATTCTGAGAAATTCCATATACTAAACCAAGTGGGAGAATTACAACAATGAAAACTGGATGTCAACCATGGTAGTAATTCAGCAGAGGGACAGGAGGCACCCGTTTCCCTTTTGTGCCCTGCTCTACTGCTGAAAGATACTGACAAGGCACACAACTTTTGTGTGTGTAAGACCTGCATGGAGTTGATGAAACTGGCCAAGTGAAAATGATGAGGGCAGGTGTGGCAGCACATGCTGGGGCAGAGAGAATGCTGATACTGGAGAAGGTCGTTCTGAGCCCACTCACTTCACCTGCTGAAACTTTACCCTGCCACTCAGATACACTGAATCGGAGCCTGCACTCTACGAGATCCCAGGTAATTCTTATAGATGTATATGTAAGAATCACCTGGGAATCTTATTGTTAGGTTCTAAGGAGAGTCAGCTCTGGCTCATAGCAACCCTATGCACAACAGAAGGAAACGCCACCTGGTCCCCCACCATCCTCACTATTGTTAAGTTTGAGACCCTTGTTGTTGCCACTGTGCCAGTCCATCTCCATGGGGGCAAGAGGGCGCTCTTTCTCTTTTTCGCTGACCCTCCACTTTACCATGTACCATGTCTTTCTCCAGGCACTAGTCCCTCATGATGATATGTCTGAAGTATGAGAGATGAAGTTTCATCATCCTGGTTTCTAAAGAGCATTCTGGCTGTACTTCTTCCAACACAGATTGGTTTGTTCTTCTGGTGGTCCATCGTACTTGAATATTCTCCTCCAACATCATAACTCAAATGTATCAATTCTTCTAAGGTCTTCCTTATTCACTGTCCAATTTTCACATGCATATGAGGTAAGTGAAAATACCATGGCTTGGGCCAAGCACACCTTAGTTCTTAGTTAATGAACATCTTTGTTCATTAACACTTTAATAAGGTCTTGTGCAGAGAATTCCCAATGCAATATGTCCTCTGGTTTCTGGACTGCTGCTGTTGATGTGGATGGGTGATCCAAGTAAGTGTTGATGGTTGATCTGAGCAAAACGAAGTCTTTGACAACTTCAATCTCTTCTCCATTTATCTGGATGTTACTTTTTGGTCCACTTGTGAGTATTTTTGTTTTCTTTATATTGAGGTGCAACCCATACCGAAGGCTATGGTTTTTGCTCTTCATCAATAAGTATTTTAAGCCCTCTTCATTTTTAGCAAGCCAGGGTTGTATTATCTGCATATCGCAGACTGTACCAAGTCTTTTTCCAATCCTGATGCCATGTTATTCTTCATATAATCCAGTGTCTCAGATTATTTGCTCAGCATACAGAAACGAGTAAATATGGTAAAAAGACTATAGCTGTAGCATACAACTTCCCTGATTTTAAAACCATTCAGTATCCCCTTGTTATGTTCCAATGAGCGCCTCATGTTTTATGTACAGGTTCCTCCGGAGCACAATCAAGTGTTCTGGCATACCCACTGTTTACAATGTTGTCCATCGTTTGTCATGATCCACACAGTCAATAAATAAGCCTTTGTACAGTCAATAAAGCACAGGTAAATATCTTTCTTGCATTCTCTGCTTTCAGCCAAGATCCATCTGCCATCAGCAATGCTATTCCTACTTGCACATCCTCTTCTAAATTTGGCTTCTAAGCCTTCTACTTCTAGCACTTCCCTGTTGATGTACTGTTGTACCCTTTTTAAAATTATTTCCAACAAAATTTTACTTATCTTTTTTCTCATGCAGTGGTTGGCAGCTTTGAACCTCCAAACTTGTGGTTAACAGCCCAATGCTTACCTCACAGTGCCACCAGGGTTCCTTAAGAATGTATACATGAGTATCTAAAAGGGCATCTTGCTAAAATGTGACTCCTCTGTCAGTGTACCTCAGCAGGCGTCGGCCCAGACTGGCCCTCTTCCGAGTCCTGCCCCGGAGTCAGTAAAGTCCATGCTGACATTTTAGGTGTGTCACAGGACACACTCTGTGCCTCCCAGAGAGCCAGGTGAGGCTGGAACTCAAACAGCACAGAGTCCTTTCCTCCTTCAGAACCCTTAGACCCAAGTACTCCTGGAAGCATCCCAAAACAGGTAGCCCCTGACCTAAGACAGAATTCCATTCAGATGGCAGTGACATATGTCGTCACTTCTAACACATGCCAATTACCTTAATTTTATTTTTTTTAAAGTTTTCGCTATTATTGCTTTTTATTTTATCATCAGTATCTTTAAAAATCTTATCTTTGTTCATCTGAAAGTAAACATATAAGAACCATAATATCAGGTAATTACGTGCTACAACACCAAATGTAGTACATGTTGCTAACAATGTTGCTATTGTTGTAAGTGCGTTTAACTCAGTTCCAACTCATAAAGACCCTGTGTAACGTTTCCAAGGAGAGGTTGGTGGGTTTGAACTGCTGATCTTGCAGTTAACAGTCCAATGCTTATCCTACAGTGGTACTCCATTATTAACAATAAGAGGCAAAAAAAAACCAAAAGAAGCCAGACGACTGCAAGTGTAGTTCTTTGTCATTTGAATGTGTCGTAAGTCAAGGACTAGTCCTATTCTGCACTGCCAGCCCCCAGGACAGCGGGTGGAAAGGGGAATGCATTACCTCAACAGAACGCTTTTCATTTTCAATTCAATTGTCTTACTGCCTTCCACACCAATAACAATTAGAAGCTACAAATAACAAAAGCAACTTTCTTGAATTTGTCTTCTTTCTTTTCCTCTCCTGGACTCCAACCTTTCAAGACATATTTCCTTCTATTCATCCAGCTCTGTCTAGCTTCACTAGAGGATGCAGACTGAAACAAAGAACACGGGTGCTGTAGTAACATGGTAGGGATTCTGTCAGTCTCTCTGTGGAGAGCAAAGATGAATTAATACACGCATGCCAGGAATGCAGCATCTCCTTGGTGTGCATGGACTGTGAAACCAGGTAAGCAGAACACCTGGCCTGGCTTACATCACGTCTATCATCAAGTGAGGTCTGGGGTGTGGGTGCCACCCACCCCTGCCTGGAAATTTCCAGATCATCCCACCCCACATAAAGAAAATCAGGGTGGGCTGAGGTGGAGCGAAGCAGACAGTGGGCATTCCTGTAGGTAATTTAACAGCACCGACATGTCTTTCAGCCCCTGTTATTTACAGGAGACGACGCATCTACACAGGAGATCGGGTTGAATTACTATCGTCAGTTCGGTGAGCATATGAAGAGTCAGAAACATCAAAACAGACAGAGAGGAAAGAGAAGAGGTAGGGGCCACAGTCTCCCTTCACTGAACAGCACAATGGAGGAAGCTAACCGACTATTGAGGACTTTGTTCATTCACATTCTCCTCTGTGCTCCCAGGAGGTGCTCTGGGCTGAGCCCACTGTCTGGGTGGGAGAGACAAAACAGCATGAGCAGCGCTCAACTCATCAGCGGTTACTGCTGCTGGATGTCCCTCCCTCCCCATAGCTAGCCCAAGTCAAGGCCAGGAGGAGGGAGTTAGGTGCTAGATGAGAAGAGCCTGCTAGGCACGAGTGGTGGCCCCGGAGCAGACGAGAATCGAGAATGACACAAAGCTTGCATGCCCAGGACAACGACTTTGCTCCTTGCAGGGGCCACGGAGGAATCTGCAGAGGCCATTAGCGGATGGGGCGAGACTGCAGACGATGCTCTGTGGCAGCAAACAAGGAAGACCGAATGTGTAGCGTACACGTCACCCCTGCCTTGCCTTTGACACCAGCTCATAAACCGCTGCTTTATGACCCCAACTGCAGCCATCCACCCTAGCGGCTTACTCCCGTCTCCTGTGGGAAGCCAAGACGATGTAATAGCACAAAATCAGGGGGTTGGTGTTCTTTGGAAAGATTTAATTTTCTCCCCAATTTTCATGGTTAGATTTCCTTTCTTTTATGTTAAGTGTGTCTGTGAACCGTATCAAAGAATTATTGAGTGGTAAATGAAAAACTAACTGATTTGCATTAATTGAAAAATACAAATACGGGACTTGTGTCTTGTTCTCAGAAAGGAATTTCAACTAAGAATCCATTCTTGGCAGCCTAGGAAACATTAAAGGCTGAAAGGAAACATTTAAAGGCAAGTCTAGTACTACAGGTATGTGGTTATTTTTTAAATGACTGAATGACGCAGAGCTACTCTAGTGAAGCACATGACAGGATGCTAAATTAAACTGTAAAAGCTGGACAGCGCATCGCTCTTGTACCTCGCTACTGCCACAAACCACAATCCACGCCTGGGACTGAACCTGCCCAATCACAGACACCCTATTTCACTCATTTTTTGTAAATCCAGGTCGGTGGTTCAAACCTACCAGCCACTCCTTGGGAACCCTATACAGGGTCACTATGAGTCAGAATTGACTCAATGGCACTTAACAACAACAACAGTACCAAGTACTTAAGGAGCTCTGGTAGTGTAGTGGATTACGAGCTGGGTTGCTAACTGCAAAGTCAGCAGTTCAAATCTACAAGCTGCCCCTTGGGAGAAAGATGAGGCTTTCTGCTCCCATAAAGATTTACAACTTCAGGAAATCCTATAAGGGGTCACTATGAGTTGGAATCAACTCCACGGCACAAAACCACCAACCAATACTGCCAGCACCAAATAGTTAGCATTCAATAAACTCTTGCTGAACAAAGGAGGAATATTCAAGAACTAAAAACAGGTGAGAGAGGGCATGTGGCAACTACATCCGAGGGTATGTCGGAGGAAATGAACCCAGTGAGCAAAGCAGCGGTGTGACATCTTCACTTACGTATTCTCCATAGGTCTCCTGGGCAGGGGGTGGCGGTGGAGGTCGGTATCCAGTCGGGGGGACTCCTCTTGCTCGCGGTGTGAGCAACCCCCGTCCTCGGCTCACTGGCCCTCGGGAAGAGAGGACTCCCCTGGGGGTCGGCGTCCCTCGAGGTACACCAACCGCAACTGGCCGAGCCGTGACTCCTGCCCGTCCCCTGCAAACACAAGGTCCACTTAGCAAGATGCATCATGTTGTTTTATATTTCATCATTCACACATGGTTGTACATCAGAGAAACTGATGCTCCACATTTCTGTAAGGAGGAATGTATGCAAAGTGACTGTATACAAAGTGACTGTATGCAAAGTGACTGTATGCAAAGGAAAATCTGAAGCAGACGAGGAATGGGATGTAGCACGAGGTAGTTGAGTTGCCGGAGCTGCGTTGTGTCCAGCAATCATAAGTACCCAAGGCCCTGAGGCTCGCTGGCTGGCTGTAGTACAGTGCAGCATACCATTCCTCTGGGGAGGCTGCATTTACTGGGAACTCCCACATGACACAAGGCCAGGTCACAGCCAACCTTCACTCCCCACTGTGAGAAGGGACAAGGTAACTGAAGCTGAGAGAGATTTTCCAACTGCCAGAGAAGCCCTGGCCAGTAGAGTCGAAAAGCACTCCACAGTCCATGACAAAGAGAATATGTACTTTCCCAAGTGCCAAGTACTCTGCTCAGTAATTTAAAACATAACTCTTCAATTAAATAAGCAAGCACAGATATTTTCTGAAGTACTTTCAACACATTAATGCAATTTTAGCATAAAGCACGAGACTTCAAGTCAGAGAGCAAAGGGAAAGGTGGTTTGGTTGTGTTCTAAAAACATTCACCCTAAGCAAAAACCTCAGACAACCCTTACTCTTATTTGGAGAAATAAGGACTGGGCGATACAGCTGTACCAGAGAATAGTGCTGCACGCAGTCTGATCCCTGCCCAGACAAGGCCGTCCAATGAACAAGGACAACCAGCGGCTAGTGCTGGGAGCCTACACATCAATTCTCCACTTCTTTAAAAACAAACCCACATTTGTTTGGGAAGGATGCTCAATGTCTGCCTAAAAATTAAATTTCTGAAAGCAACAGAGGCAATTAGAGAAACCAAAAACTAGCTCTATCAAACTACCAGAAGATACCTATTCACTTTGTCCCTAAGGTGTAACAAAAGAGACCAAGAATCCAGGGAAGCTTATTGGAAAGAACCGAGGAGACATTCCCTACCTGCTTTGACTCAAATTCTTAAAAAACAGAATCCAAGGAGTTCATCCCAGCCATCCAAAGGTCACAGAGTCTGCCGCAACCAGCCAGCTCGAACGTTACCTAGACAGGTTTGAATACTGCTTTGACTTGTAATAAAGATTAGCCTTTGTCTTCAATTTTGTATACTCTGTGCACTCCTTTGCCCCAAATCCTCTCAGGCTGTCTATTCAGGGATTCTCAATCTGTAGGGTGCAGCCAAGCCATCTTCCTCATCATAGAAAACCAGCAAACATCAGTGGTCTAAGGCCCGTGGCACACACAGTAATGACACTGGCTGATGAACACAAAATTCAGAGCGACCCATGGGCTAGAAGAGTCCTGGTCTGATGCTGCTGGAAAAACACTGAACTGCTAACCACAAGGTCGGTGGTTCAAACCCACCAGCCGCTCCTTAGGAACCCTAAACAGTGTTGCTATGTAACAGAACTGACTAGATGGCACTTAACAACAACATTATGGTCTGTAACTGAACAACATGGTCACTAATGAAATCATTCAATTCAGAAGCGTCTCCAACACGGAGGACTCGAAATCAAACGAAGACTCAGAATAACATTAGTTAAATCTGCTTTTGAAAGAGCTTACCTTGTTTTTGTTTTGTTTTGTTTTTTACTGTGAATGTTAAAAAGGAATTAGAAATGAGAACATTCAAAAAGTTAGACTCCCTACAGTTCCTGTTTTAGTTTTCTACCATTTATATCATGACAGGAAAATACAGACACGTTGGAAAAGAATCAAACAATGAGCAATGACAAATTGCAACACAATAGCTTGGCAACAATAGTGAGGTTGGCCCAGGATCGGGCCATTTTTTCATTCTGTTGTGCACAGGGAACGTACAGTGATGACTTGTGGTCCATATTGTGCCTTGGAGGGGCCCTGGTGGTGCAGCAGCTAACTTCATTGTTGTAGTTAAGTGCCGTCGAGTCGGTTCCTATCTAGAGAGACCCGCCGACTTTGTGGTTTAAACAACTTTGCAGTCCAGCGCATTAGCCCACAGCACCACTCCAGAAAGGGTTCAAATCTACCAGCTGCTCTAGAAGGGAAAGGCGTGTCATTCTGTTCCTACAGAGATTACAACCTCTGAAAGCCTACAGAGCAGTTCTGCTCAGTCCTACAAGGTTTCATGAGTCGAAAGCAAAACAACTGCAGTGGGTTTCTATAGCACCTGGATGGCAGCAGTGGAGTAACGGACACGTCATAGTTTAACTATACACTGAGTAGCTGAAAAGACATATGTCAGGCAGATTTAGCAGCAGCAGCTCTGGTCTCATCACACTGAAGACTGTGTTCTAGCTACGATCTGAGGATATGGACGAAGCTGAGTAACTCCCCGTCCCCAGTATACACAGAAGCAGCAGTGCTTCCCCCAACACTTGGACCATCAACATTGCTGAACACACCACAAAGTTGAAAGAATTTCTCCATGACAATGGTTATTCAGTTGCAAACATTTAGCATTTTACTGAATTAACTTTCTAAGAAAGTATCTGTACATATCAGCCCATTGCTTTATCTATCTGGCTAAAGACCAAAGAGTGGATCCATTGCACCATGAGGCAGGTGCATGTTTAGTTTAGTTTCGTTCAAATAGGCATGTTTTGGAATGATTTGCCAGTCATAAAATCCACCATTTTAATTCAATGAGCTCCAGTCACTTACAGAGTTGTGCAGTGATTGTGGAATTCCAGTGAGCATGCATGAATGCTTATCTGCAGTCAATTCCTGCGCCCACCCAGAGGCTTAGGCAGCCACGAATCTACTGAAGTGTCTGCATATAGTCTACACAGTCAGCCTGCTATACTGCGGTGGCTTGTGGGTTGCTGTGAGGCTATGCCACAGGTATTTGAAATATCAGCAAGGTCACCCAGAGTGGACAGGTTTCAGCTGAGCTTCCAGACTCAGGCAGACTAGGAAGGAGAGGCGTCACCAAACAACACCACACATTGTCTCCCACAGGCATTTTGTATAAACGGAATCATACAATATGTGGTTTTTGGTGTTGCTTCTTTCACGAAGTCATTTATTCCTTTTCAAGGCTAAACAGAAGGTCATTGTATGACTATGCCATGTTCGCGTTACCTGCTACTCCATCACTGGGCATCTGAACTATCGCCACGTTCTGGCTCTTATGAATGATGCTGTTGTTGTTGTTGTTGTTGTTAAGTGCCGTCGAGTCGGTTCCGACCCATAGCGACCCTGTACAGGGTTTCCGAGGGTGTAAATCTTTACGGGAGTAGAAAGCCTCATCTTTCTCCCGCGGAGCAGCTGGTAGTTTCGAACCGCTGACCTTAGGGTTCGCAGCCCGATTCGTAACCACTAGGCTACCAGACCTGTTATGAGCATCCAATTACAAGTCTGCATGGACCTGTGTTCATTTTCCACAGTAGGTATCTACAAGTCAGTGCATTACAATTTTCCAAAGTGGCTGCCTCAGTTAATATCCAACCCCCCAACCCCTCACCCCTCCAGCAATATTTGAGGCCCCAGCTTCTCACCTCCTTGATAATACCTGTCACTGTAAATCTTTTTGGTGATGGCCATTTCAGTGGGTGTGAGGAGATAGGATTCTGTAGACTTAAAACTGTGAGAACTTCTGACAAAGAACTATGCTAGTCCAGTTCCCCTCTGTTGCAGACCGTGTAAAGCTGGTCAGAAGTTCAAGGCCCACTGGGCCCGAGTGTTGAAGACAATGCAGGCTACAGGCTCTGAGGAACAGATTCTGGCCACCGGGCAGTCATAGCAAATTGTTTTTCATCTTAGTGCTCAGTTATGCTTTTTATTTAATTCCAAACATGAGCCCTTAGTATCCACAGATAAATGTAATATTTTCCTAAAGCCGAGACTATAAAGGTTTCAAGGTTAAACCTTTCTCCAAAGTATTAACTAAAAATGGCTTAGCTACTTCCTGGCTCTTTGTTCCATAGACAAAAGGACATTCTCCCTAAACCTGTCCCAGGTGCATGCTATTCAGCCAAAGTTCCTGAAAACCTGGCTCAGGAAGCCAAAACAGCGGGACTCCTCCCAAGCCTTTTGTCCTTCCTTTTCACCTTTCCCCAACTGAGCTCAGGGGCTATAGATATGTTAATTGGGCCTGAGAAACCAAGTTGCAGGCCTGGGATTCGAACCAGCAAAGTACGATGTAAAGTTGTCTGAATGGCTGGAGAATTACGTATACTAGCTGTACCTTGTCTTAGTCCCTCCCAGCTTGGTGTGAATCTCCTCCCCTAAATAAAACAGAGGCGCAGGCTGGCCCAGGTGTGCATTACAGGCAGGCGGTGAAAGCGAGCGCTACGGCTTGCAGGCCGTGCATTACAGTCATGCGGTAGAGTGTGCTATACGGCTGACTAGGCATGCGTTACTGACCAGCTAGTAAGGGGTGCGTATGGCCCGCTTAGCTAAAATGTTTACTATGCGGGATCTTACCGCCCTCCTGGCTAATATGTTCACCACACCTGATATGCCTGACGCCAGTAATGTATCCACCCTGGTATTGGGGTGTCTCTTTGTCTCCCTCTTTGCGTCTTTCTGTGTATTCTTCTGCTATCCCTATCACCGCCAGATATCCCCTCCTCATGAACCAAACACTTGTGAACAACCAAACAACTATGTCGAGGCCAGTCCCCGACATAAATGGCACCCAACGTGGGGTACGAAGGATGGGGTAAGTAATGATGCTCGATCTGAGATGGCCACTGCCCGGGCTAGTCGCGAGGCCCCTGGTCAAAGAGTATCCAGGCTGGGAAGGGGCAGTAAGGAATTGAAGGAGATGGGTCAAATACAGCCCAGTCTCCATTCTGTATATCTTAAAATTCTTAAGAAATCTCTGCAAGAAAGGAAAATGTGTGTTGATGAAGGAAACTTGTCTAATTTTGTTAAGTTTGTCCAGCTGATTAGCCCCTGG